TATTCTGGTCTGACAGTAGCCTCTTGTCCTGAGTACAGATTCCTCATTGTAACTAAGGGGGCATGCAGACGGGCGGCCCTGGGCCGCCCCCGGAAGCGAAGGATCGAGGCCAAGGCTGACGGACACCTTGGCCCCGATCCTCCCTTTCGCCGCCTGCAAAAGGAGCACTGCAAGAGGCGTGGCATGCCTCTTTGGCGTCTCTTCCAGCTCAGCGTGTCCGGACGCTGAGCTGGAAGGACGTCATCGGAGCGCCTGTCGTGTGGACGGGCCTTCACTCCGATGACGTCCTCAGGAATGGGATGGGGCACCCAACGTCTGGCTGCCCCTCCCCTTCCTGGGATTGAAGATGGTGCTTTTCACCGTCTGCATCCCCCCTATCTGTTGTATTGGCACTCCCATGTCTTTAAGGGCGCTCCATAGCCTTTTATGGTCTATTCAGCCAAAGGCTTTGCAGTAGTCTATAAAGCACATGCTGATTTTCTTTTGGAATTCCCTGGTGCGCTCCATTAGCCATCGCATGTTTGAAATGTGATCCCTAGTGCCTCTTTCTTCCCTGACCCCTGCTTGGACCTCTGGGATCTCTCTTTCCATGTATGGTTGGAGTCGGTGTTGCATAATTTTGAGCATGATTTTGCTTGCATGGGAGATCAGTGCTATGATCCTATAGTTGCTGCAGTCTCTTGTGTCTCCCTTTTTGTGGATGGGAATGCATATTAATCACTTACAAACTGTTGGCCATCATTTTGTTTTCCATATCTGTTGACATATGTTGGTTAGCACTAGAGTCGACTCTGTCAATGTGGATTGCAGCAGTTCAATTGGAATATCATCTGTTTCTGGTGATTTGAGGTTGAGACACTGAAAATCATTCACATCTAGAAGTCTTGTATTTGCTGTGTTAATGTTTCCTTGGTGACCTTACCTGCCCCTTTTCTTTGTTACCTAAACTGTATTTCCAAATGCTCAACTGAAGTTTTAAGTTACTGCAAGACAGAAAAGTTGGGGACTGAAGGAAAATTTCATTTGGGGGAACCAAATTCTTATTCATGGCTACCTAATAAAGTTGCCTGTGCCCCCTCCAAGAAATAACGGCTGAAAAAACTCTAGATTCTGCTAAAAATGATAAACATGGATTAGATTTCTAAACACTACTTGACTTTAGTTAAGTTGCTTTGTGAAGACCAATTTCCTTAAGTAATTTGGGCACATCTGCATACAGTGATTAGACACTCTTTTGGAACCATGTACACACTGAGCTGGGTTCTTGCTAGCCTGCCATTTGCATGAAAGTTTTGTTCTGGCAGATTAGGACCAGTTTGGTACCAATTCAAGGTAAAGTAGCAACAGCAATCCAGTCCCATGCAATATCATACTTATAAAGGGAATTTTTCCTGACACCAAAGTCACTGACTATGAATTAGAGAAAATACTATGTTAAAACACCTCATTAGCATGTGCAATAAGATATATACAGTCAGACCTCCATATCCATAGATTTTAAAGCAAATCTTGATGTTGCCATTTTATATAAGGGATAATATTTTATTATGCCATTGTATTTAACGGGACTTGAGCATCCACTGATTTTGGTGTCCATGGAGGGAGGTGTCCTGGAATGAAAGCCCAGCGGATACCAAGGGCCCACTGTATGCTTTTTCCCCTTTACAATCAGATTAAAAATCATGCTATAAGCCAGTTTTAAAAACCAAATTTCAGAAATCAAAGACCAGATAGCAGGAGTATCACTGGGGGGATGCGGGCTGCACCAGGTGACAACCTAAGGGAGGGTGACACCACTGCTCCCCTAATATCTGTCTTTGGGCAGAAATGACCTGGGGCATTCACCTGCATCCCTTTAAAATGCTTTAAAATGCTGATGAAAGGGTGTGAGTGGGGTAAGGCTCAGTGGGAAGAGAAAGGAGAAGCCTCGGGTTTTTATTAAAAAAAAAATCTTTTTAATTTTTATTTTAAAACATCACATTTTACCAATTTTTCACATTCACCATATTAAACTATGTACATGTACATACATTTAGGCTGTGTTTAGGATACTGTAATTGAAAGGTATGATTTTAATTTTGCTAGCTGTTTATGTCACAACTTTTACCATTACATTCAGTGATATATAGGAATTATGATTTATTAGTAACAAAAACATTACTAAGGATTCTGTATGGTGTGGTATATGGGAAGAGGTCCAGGAGGTAACACCGTGAGTTACCGCATTGTATGGTGCCAACTCTAGTGATGCCATTGCCAGATAGAATAATATCATTTTAACCCCCTACCAGAAGCTCAAGAAAGATGCGGCTGGTCTGAGTTCTCTTGGGAGAAAATTTCACAATTGAAGTGTTTCTGAAGAGACAGCCTTATGTCCTTACCAAACCAGCTTCTTGAGGTGATGTAACATACCATGCGAGCCAACATGACATAGTGGTTTGAGCGTTGGACTGGAGACTATGCTGGAGTGCTGGAGACTACAGTTTGATTCCCAGTTCGGCCCTGAAAACCACTGGGTGACCTTGGGCAAGGCACATTCTCTCAGCCTCAGAGAAAGGTGATGGCAAACCTCCTCTGAAAAAATCTTGCCAAGAAAATCCCACAATAGGGTTTGTTTTAGGGTCGCCATAAGTCGGAAATAACTTGAAGGCATTCAACACACAACACAATATACCATAGGGCAAGAAAATTTTACAAGGCTTGTACGAAAACATAAGATAGTTATTCAAATCCGTCTGAAGAAATTTTCTGTCAACATCAGTATTTACTTGTCATTCTTTTGGTTTGCATACAAGTTCAGAAACCTGTTCCAAATTCTTCCAATGTGATCAGTTTTCTATATATTTTTTCTATCAAATATAGTATATTAATTAATAAACTACCTGGTGTTAACTTATTAAGCTACAAGCTGACTAACAACAGAACCTCTGTTTCCAAAGTGGTGGCATAAAGAATTAAACTGCTGCCAAAATAGTTTATACAGTCTTCTTGTCCTAGCCAAATAATATTTTGATTAAACAAATTATGTCAGCATTAACGTTCTCTTTGAACAGGTGCTTCTGCTTTTGATCCATGTCAGGTTTTTACAGTTATTAGTGAATGGTGAAAATATACCAATCAAGACAATTGGCAAAAATATATTGGCAAAAAACATGGGTAGAATTAAGAGATTTTGAAGAGAAGGGGGAAAGAACATGATAAACCTCATAGGCAGAATTTATTCTTGGTGACTGAAGGATGAATCTATCATTTCCATGTCAAAAATTAAATAATAAAAGATAGTGGTTTATTTCATACTGTCCAGACCAATTAGCCACATACTCATATGCAGCCCATCACACCGGCCTCTCTTCTCATGCAAGAGAATAATATATTCTGAGGAGAAAATTCCTCATACCAAAGCAAATGATCAATATAACTCTGTGCATGTGACTGAAATACAACCTTATTAAGCATTTAATCCCATTTATAC